CATCAACGAGCTCATCTACACTGAACGGGACTTTGTGCGAGATATGGAGTACTTGCGTGATGTGAGTCTTGCGGGTCGTCCAATGTGATAATCAGCTGATTATCTTGGCAATCTTTCGTACTGTTCAGCAATGGATCAAGCCTCTGCGGACGAATGATGTGATACCACCGGCCAAACGAGAATCCTTTGTTACTCAGGTTTTCTGGAACACCCATGAGATCCTAGCTGTCAACTCGATCTTTTCCGAACGCCTTACAAAGCGGCAAAAACACAATCACATCGTCCCGTATGTGGCTGACATCATGCTGGAATTCATATCCCAGTTTGAGCCGTTTGTCGTGTACGGTGCCCATCAGTTGTTTGGTAAATACGAGTTTGAAAAGGAGAAAACGAATAACCCGGCATTTCAGAAATTCGTAGATGTAAGTCTTAGTCATGCTTCGCCGGTCAATATTCGCTAAGCATAATAATGCCTTGTGATAGGAAACCGAGCGCAACCCAGCTTCACGGAAGCTTGAACTTAACGGCTATCTCACGAAACCCACCACTCGTCTCGCCAGATACCCTCTCTTGCTTAAGGAAATTCTCAAACACACGCCTGATGACAATCCAGACAAAACAGAGATTCCGAAAGTGACCGAGTTGATCAAGGACTTCCTCACTCGGGTGAACGAGGAAAGCGGAAAATCTGAAAACATGTTCAACCTTGCTCAATTGGATCAACAACTCGTATTTAGGCCAGGGGAAAATTTCGTAAGTGACCATGGTTCATGATACATTCTTTACGCATGCTGACCTACGTTACTTAATCATTGCACCAGGATCTGCATCTTCGTGACAAGAACAGACAGTTGGTTTTCAAGGGACCTCTCAAATGTCGAGGGGGGCCGAACGGGAACGGAGAGAACGCAGACCTGCTTGCCTTTTTGTTTGATCATGCTCTCCTACTTGTGAAAGCAAAGTGGATGAACAAGCAACACGAGCAATACAAGGTCTATCGAAAGGTATGGTGTTCCAGCCTTTTTCAGCCAGTGTTCAAGCAACTGACCTATTTCCCTTTCTAGCCTATACCGCTGGAGCTGATGCTGGTGACGGCTCCGGAAGACGCCCGCAATGCATTGAAAGGCTCAAGCAGTCGGACTGGACTCGCTTCGGCAGCTCGCGGGACCAACGGAAAATCCGTAAAAGACGTTATCCATAAACCCGATTCAAAGCATGGATTCAGTCTCACCATCCAACATCTCGGACGAAAGGGTTATTACTTGACGTTATGGGCGGCTTCTTTCGCTGCACGACAAAACTGGCTGGAGCATATCGATGAACAACAACAGAGTCTAAGGAATCGAAGCAGAGTATTCAAGACATTATCATTGACCGATCGCTTTTTCGTTGGATTGAACAAGGTGAACTGTGCTTCGCCGTATGGTATGTGGCGTCACTTCGCAATATCGAGTGAGGGCTGACATGCGTGGTGTCGATCAGATGGAGGTAGACGTATCATCTATGGGACGGACGAAGGTGTATTCTTCAGCAACCTTCGCGACGAACGCTTGCGGGTACCGGCCAAGGTGGTCGCCATACCCAACGTCACACAGGTCGACGTATTAGAAGAGTTCCAGCTGTTGATCGTGTTAGCTGGTTCGTCAAAAGTGTGTTACTTACCTCCGTCTTTCGCTGACCAAACGCCTGCATAATTAGAACGGAGTGTGACTGCATTCCCTCTGGAAGCTCTGGATCCTACTGATCCCACGGCAGCTCTGAAGAGGGGTAAGCGACTGTCATCGCATACATCGTTCTTCAAATGCGGTGTATGTTTGGGTCGAGTCCTACTATGCATCGTGAAATCTTCTTCGCTGTCGTCGACAATCAAGGTCCTCCAGCCAATTGATATGACTCAGCGTGGGAAAAAGGAACCCACGCCTTTCAGAAAGTTACTGAACAACAGCGGTGCTCACAACGAGCCATTCAATATCTTGAAAGTAGGTGTCCGGAGAGCCACAGCTATGCCATTATACTGACAGATGCCTTGTTCAGGAATTCTACATCCCAACGGAAAGTACAAGCCTGATGATGCTCAAGACGAAGCTCTGTGTAGCCACAACAAGGGGATTTGAGGTCATTGACCTAGAGGTAAAGCGCATTGCTGTTGATGTGACATCGCAATCATTTTACTCACTACCGCTTTACTTCTAGACGCTCGATACGCAAAGTCTGCTCGACCCTTCAGACAGCAGCTTGGACTTTGTTGCCCGGCGCGAGAATGTACGGCCAGTCACTATTTACAGAATTGAGGAGTTTTTCCTACTCTGTTACGCAGGTGAGCATTTCGCGTTTGTGGGGTCCTTAAGCGGTGAAGCTGATGGTCGTTGGCCACCAGAATTTGCATTCTATGTCAATAAAACGGGTTGGCGAGCACGACCACGCTGGGCTATACAGTGGGAAGGTGTGCCTGCATCGTTTGGTGAGTCGATGTAGTGATGCTCAATACGGGTCGTGCTAACGTTGAATCGCAACAGCTCTTCATTATCCCTATATCCTGGCATTCGAACCTACCTTTGTAGAAGTCCGGCATGTCGACACTGGTCATCTTGTGCAAATCATTCCGGGCAACCATATCCGGTGTCTTTTCGCCGACGCACCGCCTTCTCAAATTCACACGCCACAGGGACCCCTTATTCCATTCCGAAATGTACCCGGAGGGCAATCACGTCCAGGATATGGTGGCCCGTCCTATGGACATCCACCACCCAACAATCCGTACGGTCCTCCCCGACCACCAGCGCCTCCCCCGTCTCGTATTCGGAACCAAATCATATTCGTATCGGACGAAGGCAATGTACAAGTCGTTCGATTGGCCCCACCGGGTCCCACTCCGCCTCGCGTCAGTCAAGCCAGTAGCATCAGTAGACGTTAGCCATACACGAAAGGCATTGTTTCTGTGACATTTTACGTTGTATTGCGCTAGATGATCATATAAACGGGTATGACATGGGAATCACTCTGGACAGTCGGGAAGCGATCAATCATGGTAACATGATAGCTAAGGATGGTTGTACAAAGGTGTTCGGTACCTCACCTCACACACCGAATCGCCACTGGTCAAACGGCACTCGTAGGTTGATTGTCGGCGCAACAGAGTCTTGAGGTGCAGGTGCAACGGCTGAATGATCGTCAACACCTGGTCTGACGGGTTGAAGAAAGGCGGGTGCGGGCGCGTCGAGCTCGGGACTCGTCAGCTGGATCACTTGACTCTTTTCGCTTTGACTCGCAGGTGCGGATTCAGCTACGTAGGCTGGCAATGGAGTATCATGTCCGGTAGTCTTGGGTGAAAGCGTGGCTTCACGCGGGGTATCTTTTGCCAATGGAGGTGGAGTAGGAGCGGTCATGAAACGTTCAAATGAAGAGATGGTGGATATGTCTTCGGATGAGGATTCTGATGGAACGGTGATTCCTCCTGCTGGGACAGGTGCTGGGAATTGCTGTTCATGGTGCGACTGAATCTGTTGTCTTCTTGCTGTGTTCTCGTTTGGGATATTTCTGGGGGCCTGGTTCCCGTAGTAAAATGGTGGCGGGTGCGCATGCGCGCCTGGGAATCTCTTTCCTTGGTGATCTTTCTTCCCATTGCCATTCTCGTGGTCGGGTTTCATAGCAGTCTTGCGAGCGCGAGCGATCCTGCCGTAGAAAATGGACCCGACGAGGACGAAGACGATGACAAAGATTGCGCCTAGCAGTGTTGGATAATTCAGGGTGTATGGTCAGCAGCGGAGCATGTTGGTGCAGAGCGCCTGCGTATTTGAGATGCTATGGACGTACTTCCAAAAACCAAGCCCATTACCACCATCTTGTCTTGATACTTCCATTTCAGGGCAGTAATCTCATCGACTCCCGCTAAAGTGCTATTACTATCTAGTGCAGTGTCTGACACCGTTCCGACTCTCATAAAAGGCAGATGACTGCCTGGATGGTAATCGTCATGGTCGTATCCGTAGTCCCTTCCATATTCATCGCCGTATCGGTCAATATTGTCGGGTGCCAGGGCGAGCGCCATGTTGGTGTTTATACGAGGTTAGGTGTGGAGAATTGAACGAGATAGGAGTTCCAAGCAGCAATGCGATGAACAGCAGAAGGTAACGGTGAGTGTAGTAGACGACAAGAGGGTGTATAGGGGCAAACGACGCGACAACGCTGTAGGACGTTAATCGAGACATGGTCGCAGCAACAACGTCGCGGCCACTTTCTGCGTTTTATACCCGTATTCACCCTAATTCCCGGAGTAGACTGGAACGCAAAGTCTCCTGCCATCAAGGGCGAAAGGGCGACATCACAAGGGACCGTACTGGATATCACAAAGGAACCTAGGTAGAATGCGTCGCCACATTCGGAGAGGTGCAAGGACCCTGAAGCGCTCGGTCGCACAAGCCAGAAGAGCGATTGTTGCTATCCAATCAGCCGCAACGGCAGCTGGAAACAGTCCAGATTGCAACCATACAAGGCCCCGGACCTCTGTTGCATCTATCGTGGTCATGTACAGTTTCCTGTCCTCGCTGAGCTCAAGGTATAGTAGGATGCTTCCCGCCCCAGAAAAGCCCAGACAGGCACAATGTCTTTGACAATCCAGTATGCCCGCACAAACACTCTCTCGTTTTGTGTCTTCGCCAGGCTTGTTGCACACTGTAAGGGCTTGATATCAGGCAAATTGGACAAGAAGAAACGAGCCCGCGCCCTTTTGACGGGGAGGAACGCGACTGAAAAAATTGACGGAGGAGGTCGATTTTGAGGTGCGATATCTCGCTCAAAAACGGCGTGAACGCTCGCTGTTTTGATACGAGTGAGAGGAGCAATATGGTGATGTCGGATGGATTCTAACTGTAACTGCGCCGTCTGGACAAGCAAGAATGTGACAAAAAGTGATGAACCCACTGCGATAGAGACATAGCGCCCATGGACTCTGGATCTACCATTTCGAAAGGTCGCCCTTCAGCGCAAAAAGGTGGCAAAAATGAAGCTAGCCCGGATCGAACAGGCGACCCTCGGATGGCAGTTGGTACTTCTGAAACGAAGTGGATTGGAATCCGATATAATAACCACTATACTATAGCTCCAAGTGATGTTTAGCTTCGGAGGCTATAAATCATAACCAAAAAAGAATCAAACTCATTTGAGCCGGATCGCATTTTCAAGGCTCAAAGCAGCCAAGATTGGAATCCGATATAGTAATTACCATACTATGGGCTAATGTGGTAGTCAAAGAAGGTTTGAGCGAGTTATGATCGTTTGAACAGAAGAGGCGAAAGGGCTGAGTATCTTCGAGCTTCATTCTTCCTTCTCCGTTTCTCCTGCTTGCATTTTGGGAATTCTCAGCGCAGGCGCACCTCGATCGCTTGTGAGGACGACCGCGACCTAGGGACCAGCGGACTAAGCTGCGGACTATGGACTATGTAGTGACCTCTGATCATGGCAAAAGCATAGGTAGTGATAGTATATCCAAGCTTGATCCTCTCATCCGTCAAGGGACTGTCGTCTAATTCCATCTCCAGCAGCATCGAGAGAGCGCATCCGGCTTCCTGTCGATACCGATTTCATACCGAATACCCAAAGTGGCGAGCCTTGAGTGGCTCACTGACCAAAGGGGTATTTCCCAAACGGGTGTAAGACGTGACTAGATATTCATCATTATGCCCAGCGTCGCACCATCATCGCCCTCCGTCCGCGCCGGTAGTCCGCCGCTGTCCCCGGCACTGCCAGGAAAGCTGCAACCTGGGTCATACGGTATCAAGGTGAGTCCATCGTAACACGCATACAACCTGTACTCAAACAGTTCCGTAGGACGTGGTTATCGGTGTCCATCTCTTTGTGAGAAAACCAGGACCAACAGGGGAAACCGAGGAACGATGGGCAGAAGTCCTTTCCATTCGTGACAAACCACAGTCGATATACGCACCAACGCCGAAACCGGGACAAGTTACTGATCCACTAGACCAGGTTGAATACTATGTTCACTACTCCGAATTCAACAAGCGATTGGACGAATGGGTCGGTGGCTCACGTTTGGTGTTGGAGAGGGAGTTGGAGTTGCCGAAACCCGTACAACAGGAGAAGCCAGCGAAGAAAAAGGTGACGGGTGCAGCAGCAGCAGCGCAACAGGCTTCAAGGCAGGACAGTCCGAGCTCGAACCTACTTAGAAAGGCGGCAATGAAGAGTCTCAAGTCGCCAGCAGTCAGCGGCCGTATGGGAAAGAAGAATGTCGCTCGTAAAGCGCCACAGAAGAGTACACCCAGCAACGTGTCGGATATGGCGGCAGAGGAAGAAGACGAGGACATGGATGCATTGGGAGAGGACGATGACGAAGATGAAGAGGACAAGGACGTCGTGATGGACGGTGAAAAGGCAAAGATCGTCACCGTTGCCGATGCGGACGCCGATGTCGCCGCACCTTCGAATCCCCTCGCCGTGGAAACATTATCAAAAGACGACGAGATTAAACGACTTCGAACTACCGGATCCATGACTCAACAGCACTCCGAGATATCAAGAGTGCGAAACTTTAAGATGATCCACATGGGCAAACACGAAGTCGAGACTTGGTACTTTTCGCCTTATCCGATAGAGTTTGCACATATCGACATTCTCTACATCTGCGAATGGTGTCTTTCGTATTTCCCATCACCGCTGATGCTCAAGCGTCATCTCACAAAGTGCACACTTCATCATCCGCCGGGCAATGAGATATATCGGGACGACAATGTCTCGTTCTTCGAAATCGACGGTCGCAAGCAGCGGACATGGTGTCGAAACCTGTCGCTTTTGTCAAAATGTTTCCTCGACCACAAATTTCTATACTACGACGTCGACCCATTCTTGTTCTACTGCATGGCCAAGCGCGACGAGGCCGGATGCCATCTCGTCGGTTATTTTTCCAAGGAAAAACAAAGTGCGGATCACTATAACGTTGCCTGTATTCTTACCCTACCGCAATTCCAGCGCCAGTCTTACGGGAAACTGCTCATCGAATTCTCCTATGAGCTCAGTAAAGTGGAACGAGTGCAGGGGTCGCCGGAGAAGCCGTTGAGTGACTTGGGATTGTTGAGTTACCGAGCGTATTGGCAGGAAGTGATTGTCGATCTGCTATTGTCGACCGAGGAGCACGAGCTGTCGATTGACCAAATGGCGAACATGACGAGTATTGTACCAGCGGATATCTCGCATACGTGAGTCTGGCTTTCACCTATTTGCTCTGTGCTATCACAACTGACTCTTTTTCGCAGTTGTCACGCCTTGCACATGATCAAAGTCTACAAAGGCAACTATATCATTTGTCTAACAGACGCCGTGCTCGAGCAACATCAACGAACAAAGGCCAAGAAGAGAAAGACGATAGATCCGTCGAAGCTGGTTTGGAAACCGTAAGTCGTAATGGCTGTTCCACCTGTCTGCTCGCCTGTTGACACGTCCCATCGCTCAGGCCTACGTTCTCGAAAGCCCAGTTGTCTTTCGGGTTTTAGGAGGCCCGCTTCGTTTGGTGTTCATTGTAACGTGTCAACTTGCGCTTTCCGTTTTATCGAATCTAGTTGTATTGCATATCTGTTCGTGTCGGTGTACATTGTGGATGTTCGGCGGGAATCTGTTTAGTTGTATCGGGATTAATTGTTCAGGGGATTGCATAATGTCATAGTATAGTCAATCGCCATCCCTGCCCTAGCCAGAGCTATGTTTCGAAACTGGTGCGGCACAACCGATACATGGAATTACCGGCGCTCTGTGCTAATGCCAGTTCTCGAGTTTCGGATGGTTATCGTCACTTTCTACTATATCGGTATGGTGAAAGTGGAGCAAGAGACAAAACGTGACGGCAACGTAACCATATCCGTACCTGAATGCCAGGATTGCGCGTTCACTATGGCCATCGACCGATGATGTTCCGCATCAGTCTCGAAACATAGCTCTGGCTAGGGCAAAGATAGGCCATTGAATCTACTATGACATTATGCAATTCCCTGAGCAAATGATTTCGATGAAAGGAGACGGGACCTTGTGAAACGTGGTGTAGGCCTGCCACCTATACCAGCCGTCAATTGAACGAGAGGGCCCTTGAAAGTTGAAACGCGACTCACAAGCTCCCTCCTCTTGACCCCGGCCAACCTCATGATGTAGCACAACGACCTCTAGCGACACAAATCTCAAATTTGGGTCATACATTTATGTTCCTCATATCAAGCTTCGACAGCTTCGACAATTGGTAAAACTGCATGCACCAATGCCCGCCGATTTTTGCATGCCGCCTCGGCCTCTTGCTTCGCACCCTTTCCGCTCCTGTCTGTCCAGCAGTAATAGATGCTTGTGCCGCACGGTGCATGCCATGCGGTAAACGGCACACAGTGCTACTTTTCGTCGATATGCAGAGCGAGCTCTGAGGACTGCTTCAAAATCAAACAGCGATAACCAAACCCCCTAGGGGGCGGGATGCTAGATGCTAGATGCTTGTTCGCCTTGTTCACGTGTACCTTTTAACATTGTTGCTCCTGTTTCAGCGGTGTCTCAGACTGGTTTCCCTCCAATAGCAATATCTGTCTGTGAATAGATTGCAATCTGCGGTCCAATGCACTGCTGTTGGTCAGCCGTCCCCACGTCGAGTTTCGTGCAAGGACAGCTCTGCTGCATAGACCACATGAAGACTACATGAAGGTAACGATGTCCAACTCAAAAGTCAGTCTATGCTTGTAGTACGCCGATCAAGCTTTCTCAGCTGCTTTCATGATATCCGGACAGGCCAGGAGAACTGACAGTCTGACAGGAGGCAGCAAAGCTGGCAGCAATGAGGCAGAGTAGCATAGTGCGGAGGTAGCTTCGGAGGAGCGGTATCCCGCACTTCCGGCACTCCGGCAGATCGGCTAGCGGCTAGATGCCACAGCCCAGGCCACAGGAAAGATAAGAAATTTAGAGCCTCGGAGATCCGACTCTGGGTGAAACGCCTGCTTGCCTGCTTGCGAATGACGAGCCCGCAAAATTTAGCGGGATTTCAGCCCTAAGGAGCGCCGAAGCCAAGCGACCGGTGCAAATGGGACGTCACTATGCAAAGACTTTCGGGCTTAACAGGTCGTAGATTTGCATTCACCATCGATAGTTTTGCACAACGGTCAACCCAGTAAATATCTTTCCGATTCCGCCAACAGCTGACCAGTCTGATAAGGACAATCCATATCTAGGTGCGCCAGTACGACCACTTTGTAGACCTTGGGCTGACCTCGCGTCTGTCGCTACCACCGTGTCCATAAAAAGAAGTCTGCCATCATGCCTCACTGGTTTGCTCCGTACATGCATGGTGGCTCGTCCTCGCAATCCGCGACCGCCGGCCACGCCTCAGGTACCAGCTCAGCGACTTCCTCTGCGCCGCCTTCCCGACCCGGCTCGCCTACCCTTCGAGCTCCGACATCCAGGACGGTATCGGGCGCAAGAGTCCCCCCAAGCGTAAATCTTGCCGGATCTAGGACTGCCTCGTTACAAGGAGGAGATGATCCGCTGGCGGAAATCTACGGGTCACGACCCACCACGCCGGCGTATAATTCAGAAACGTTTCCAGCGACCCCAACAACCGTTGCTTCGTCCATCGGATCTTCCTACTTCCCATCCGCTAGGGGCGCTGCGATGACACCGAGTCTTTCGAGTTCTGGAGCCGACAGATATCCTCACGGAAACCATCACCACGCACCTCTGGAGATTCATTTGGATAGCGACTTGATTATTTTGCGAGGCGCTGGGGGAGACGTCAATCCTGCGCTCATGTCGGGCCAAGTGATTTTGAACTTGACCGAAAGTACAAATATCAAAGAATTGACCCTCAAGCTAGAGGGGAAAGCCAAAGTCGCATTCTTCGATGCTGCAGGGTGAGCTTCGTTGCGTTTCACGATTCTTGAGCGCTCGAGCTAAAGCAAATGTGATTTTCTTTTCCAGCGCTTCGGGAAGCAAGAACCATCATTTCACGCATCATTTCTTGACGCATGACTGGTCATTCCTGCAGGGCAACAAAAGCCATTCACATACACTGAAAGCGGGCAGGCACGTTTTCAACTTTGGCTTTACCTTCGAAGGCAACATCCCAGCCTCA